AGGGACCTCAGTGGGGTATAAGCCAGTTTGGTGTCGTGGTTAAGTGCACGGACTTTAAACGGGGAGAACCGGGTTTGATTCCCCACTCCTCCACTTGCACCTGCTGGATGACCTTGGGCAAGCCATAGTTTTCTCAGAGCTGTTCTCTCAAGGACAGTTCTCCGTCAGAGCTCTCTCAGCCCCATCTACCTCATATAGGGTGTCTGTTGTGGGGAAGGGAAGGAGATTGTGAGCCATTCTAGGACTCCTTTGGGAAGTGAAGGGCGGGGTATCAATCCAATCTCCTCCTCCTCCTCTTCTTCTCCTTTCATCTGTCCATTCGGAAACCCAGTTTGAGGAGGGCACATGCGCAAACGAACTTCTGGAGAGTGGCTGAAATATGATTAAATGGCACATGTAAGTCTGGCCTGTGTTTTCTGCCCACAGGAACTCTCCACGGATCCCGGCTATGGCACCGGTAGTCATCTTTACACCTCAGCATTTAGCACCAGGTACAGAAGTTGCGGGGGCCGCTGGTTCACCCCACGAGTTTCCGGACATCGCTTGGCCCGACCCCTTACCAGCCAATCATCTCCCACCATTGTTTCACACGGTCTTCCTCTTTCTTTTTTAAACCAGGGACAACGCATCGGACTCCGACCACGATTACGATGACGTGGATGTGTAAGTGGCCGGTGCTTCGTGTGGGAGGGCGCCATCCAAATGCTAGCCATGACCGTGCATCCTGGGCTCTCTTGGGTTATGCCCCATGGCCTTGGCTGGCCAGTGGCTAACCACTGGTGCACACCCAGCCCGAAAGAGACAGCTCCGGCAATCTCAGATTTGGGCCACGGGGAAAGAGAGAGCTTAGGAAAGCGGCTGCAGGAAGTTGAGAGAAGCCACTTGTCGGGTTTTAAGGGGGCAGACGAATGTCGCTCAGAGTAAGTAGTAACTGATACGAATTGTGATGGCTACACGCTCAGATGATGCAAATATTGTGAAACAAATTGTTTACATTGCGTGACATTCGCTAGCGTGTGAACGATAATAGAAGAGAATTTTCTACAGAATTACTACAGTAAATGATTTTGCAACGTATCTTTATCGAATCTTCATCATTTTTGTCAGAGATGTTGTTGTTGGATTTCCACTTTCTCCTGTGATCTCTCATTTTTGGCTTCTACCACCTTGGAGGGTGGCAACCCTACATTGGTGGGCAGATATTTGGGCCAAGCAGGGCAGGGGAGGAATCATCCTTGGAAGAAAAAAATAAGAAGAAAAACAAGGCCTTATCTACTTACAGGAAGTCCTAACCATAGAGCTCCTGTGGATTCCTAGAGATACCGGGAAGTGACAGAAGTAGCTCTAGGAAGCACCAGGAACTCTATAGTCAGAACTTCCTGTAAGCAGACGAGGCCTTGTTTTTCTTCTTAATTTTGTCCCCGGGGTGCTTCCCCACTCACAACCTTCCCACCAGTTGCCAGGCACTGCAACCTTATCCACAGCCCAAACTGGGCCCTTTCCGCACTAGACCTTTAATCCTGGTTCAGTCCTGTCTCCTACTAGCTATTCTGCACTACACTTGAGTTCACCCCTCTCTTTATCCCGGGTTTTTGTCAATTCTGCATTACACTGTGGTCACCCCAGGTTCAGACCTCCGTTGCCCCAGGGTATATGGATCCTGGTTTGCCGTGGGCTTTCCCTCAATCCGGAGTGACCCCAGTGCAGATTTAAGTGAAGAATTTTTAACTCGGTTTCGATCCTCCTCGCCCCTTTCCCGCCGTGCCTAGGACAAACACCCCTGTTTGGAATGTGGAATTTATAACACGGGGCAGGCAAGCAAATCGGACCGGAACAAAGTTAGTGCAGAAAACAACAGATAAACAGAGATAACGGCATGCTAAATGGCTGCGAGTGGAACACCGAGAAACCAAGGGGTGAGGTCCAAGAGCAAAAAGGGCCCAAGTTGTCCTTAGAGGATTTCTCCAGATATTTTCAAACCTGTTGCTGGTACCGTTGGTTGCATGCATTCACACGTTGGCTGCAGCCTGGCTGTCTGGCAATGCACGGCTTGTGGGAAAGAACCATAGAATCATAGAATGCTAGAGTTGGAAGGGACCTTGCAGGTCATCTAGTCCAACACCCTGTACTCTGCAGGAGCATAGCCGAAAGATAGCCCTGCAACATACCTGAAAGATGGTCGTCCAGCCTCCACTTGAAAACGTCCAGCGAAGGAGCCTCCACCACCTCCCGAGGCAGTCCGTTCCACTCCTCAACCACTCTTACAGTTAGGAAGTTTCTCCTGATATTTAGCTGGTATTGACTCCCTTGTCACTTCCATCCATTAGATCTAGTCTTGCAATCCAGAGCAATAGAGATAATAGATCTGCTCCATCTTCGACATGACGGCCCTTCAGATACTTGAAGACCGCAATCATGTCCCCTCTAAGTCTTCTCTTTCCCAGGCTAAACAGACCCAACTCTTTCAGCCTTTCTTCATAAGACTTGGATTCCAACCCTCTCGCCATCCCGGTTGCCCTCTTCTGGACATGCTCGAGCTTGTCAGCATCCTTCCTAAAATGGGGTGCCCAAAACTGGACACAGGACTCCAGGTGAGGCCTGCCCATAGCCAAATAGAGCGGGACTACCACCTCCCATGATCTGGACACAAGGCTTCTGTTAATGCATCCTAAGATTGCATTTGCTTTCTTCGCAGTCACATCACACTGCAGGCTCACGTTTAGCTTGTGATCAACCAGAACACCCAGGTCCCTTTCACAGGTGCTGCTGTCAAGCCAAGTCCCTCCCATTCTATATCTGTGCCTTTGATTTTTTCGTACCTAAGTGTAAGACTTTGCACTTATCTCTATTGAAATCCGTTTTATTTGTCTCAGCCCACTGCTCCAGCCTATCTAGATCATTTTGAATCCTGACTCTGTCTTCTTCAGAATTAGCAATCCCACCCACCTTCGTGTGCCTGTCTTGGATTGATAAATTTCACTGCAGTGAGGTATCTTCTAGGGGGGAAGGAAAGACAACAGTATGACCTCACCCCTGTTTACCTTTCAGTGCCACCTCATCCTCTGATCTCCCACCCCCGCTGCCCCCCAAGGTAAGTCTTTGGTGGTATCCAAGGGTCATTTCGTAGAATAAGAGGTGCGGGAGCTCATTAGCATAACTCATTAGCATAATTTATTTGCATATGCCATACCCCCTGACATCACTGGAAGTGTGTCAGAAGGCAACACCCACCGCTCAGGCTCCACTGGACTGTTTTGGATTGCTAGCTATTTGGGGGGGGGACGTGCAGATCTGTCCTCGCAGAGGAGGGAGAGCTTGTACCTGAATAAAATTTGGTCTTAAAGGTGCCACTGGACTGTTTTGGACCGGGGGACTGGGGGGGGGCGGGCTCTACAACTTACCTGGCTGCTTCTTGCTCTGACTGAAGGCTGCTGGGAGCAGTGGGTGAGGCTTGTTGCATGTGCCCGCCCCCTGGGCTCTTGACTACCGGAGCTCTGCTCCTGTGCGCTCCTGCAGGAAACGACCCCTGGTGGTCTCCAAATAACACCTCCCCTCATTCTTGCATACACAAACACAACAAACAGAAGACGACCCTCTGACAAATAGACTGGTTAATGGTGCGCCTTGGCCCCAATCCCTAAATCTAGCAGTGATCTGATGCTCCTATTGCCACAGGTATGAGTTGCCCGTACCCTTTTCCCTCCGGGAGGGAGACATTGGCACCGGCAGGGCTCTTTTTGTAGAAAAAGCCCAGCAGGAACTCATTAGTATAACAGGCCACACCCAACAGCCGACACTCATTAGCATATTAGGCCACACCCCCGACAACACAGCTCATTAGCACATTAAGCCGCACCCCCATGTTACCAGAAGTGTGGTTATCCAGCCACATCCACCTTTTGCTCGTTGCACCCCCATGTTACCAGAAGTGTGGTTATCCAGCCACATCCACCTTTTGCTCGTTATTCTGTTTACCTTGTTTGTTGTCCTTGTTCTGTTTACCTTGTTCTGTTTACCTTGTTTGTTGCCTTTTTTTGTAGCAGGAACCCCTTTGCATGTTAGGCCACGCCCCCCTAAAGTAGCCAATCCTAATGCGTTTCTGCTGTTGGGTGTGGCCTATTATGCTGATGAGTTCCTGCTGGGCGTGGCCAACTTGGGAGCCAGCCGGGACTCCATTCCTGTGCGTTCCTGCCCAAAAATAACCTGGGTCTTGTACCTTCTTTTCATGCTGACCGAGTAAACGGAGCCGACTCTCCCTCCACCTCTCTTTTGGCAGCCCAAGCTCTGGACCGCCTCAGAGGAACCTGTGGCAGACCGGTCCCCCTCGCAGTGCTGGGCGAAACCCGGATCATGGGGAAGGTGCTCTAGCGGGCCTGTGAGGGGCTGGACCCCTCCCCAAACGGTGCAGATGGGGGCTCAGGCCTCCCACCTTAGCGCCAGATCAGGTACGACGGGCCCAGAGAAATTGTACGGGCAGATTTCAGCGCCAGCAAGAGCCCCCCGTGCTCACAAATGAAGACGTTACGGCGGAACAGTTGACCCAGGAGATGGGGAGGGAGGGCCGGAGATATTCTCACGCCTCCTTCCCTGGAATGACACCGCCCGTTTGGTGTAGTGTGTAGCTCCTACACACGCAGCTGCTCGTGTGACTTTGGGCCAGCCACAAGTTCTCTCAGAGCTGTTCTCTGAAGGGCAGTCCTCGAAAGAGCACTCTCAGCCCCCCCGACCTCGCAGGGTGTCTGTTGTGGGGAGGGGAAGGGAAAGGAGATTGTGAGCCGCTCTGAGACTCCTACGGGTAGTGAAGGGCGGGGTATAAATCCAATCTCTTCTTCTCTTCCTCCATGTGCAGCTGCTGGTGTGACTTTGGGTCAGTCACAAGTTACCTCATAGCGGTTCTCTCAAGGGCAGTCCTCGAGAAAGCTCTCTGCGCCCCACCTGCCTCACAGGGTGCCTGTTGTGGAAAGGGGGAAGGGAAAGGAGATTGTGAGCCGCTCTGAGACTCCTTCGGGTAGTGAAGGGCGGGGGTATAAATCCAATTTCTTCCCTTCTTCTCAGGAGCAGTCCTCGAGAGAGCTCTCTCAGCCGCACCTACCTCACAGGGTGTCTGTTGTGGGGAGGGGAAGGGAAAGGAGATTGTGAGCCACTCTGAGACTCCTTTGGGTAGTGAAGGGCGGGGTATAAATCCAATCTCTTCTTCTCTTCCTCCACATGCAGCTGCTGGTGTGACCTTGGGTCAGTCACAAGTTCCCTCAGAGCTATTCTCTGAAGGGCAGTCCTCGAGAGAGCTCTCTCAGCCCCACCTGCCTCACTCAGGGTGTCTGTTGTGGAAAGGGGGAAGGGAAAGGAGATTGTGAGCCGCTCTAAGACTCCTTCGGGTAGTGAAGGGCGGGATATAAACCCAATCCTTTCTTTGTTGTCCCCTGTAGTCCCTGAGCTGCGGCCGGTTTGCCAGATGGAAGAGCGCCCCCTCCTGCCCCCCAAGCCAGGGAGGAAACCAAAACCAGTGAGTGCCTTCATCTTCTCCTTTTCCTGAGCACCTGACCCAGGAGAACACTTATTTTATTTTTCTCTGGACTCAAAGCTGGGGTGAATCTGTCTCTCGCCCCCCAAAATGTTTTGCTTCTAAAGTGTAAAGAGGGAACGATTCAGATTTGTGCCTCTGCATGAACTGCTGCTCTGCACGGGCTTGCTGATTAGGAGGAACGGTGACTCATTCAGAGCTCCGACGAGCAGCCTCCTCTGGCCACTCCTGCTGCCTTTGTACCTCAGAGATATCTGAGTGAGTAACTTGCGCCGGGTGGCAAAAAGTGATAGGCTTACCATCCCTAGGGGAGGCTTGGTTAGGAGGAAGCATGAACAGAACGGGGAATCACGCAGAGACACTGCAGGCAGAGTGCTTCGAACAAACAAGAGCCTGTGATTCATTTCATTTGGGAACTGCTGACCGCCCTCTCTTTCCAGGACAGGAGGCTCTTCAGGAAAGTCTTTAACGAGTGTCCTTTGCACGTCACCTCGGCCACGTCTTGGGTCCACCCGAACACGAAAGGTTGGTGTGTGTGTGGGGGGGGGAAGAGACCCCAGAGAGAGATCAGGGTAGTCCTGCTTTTCTGGCCCTTTCGCTGGCTGCTTGTCAGCTTTACGTAGGAGCTTCCAAGGTTCCAGTCCTCGTTTCCTTGCCCCCTCCTGTTTCTCTACCTCCGCTCCTCCTGGCGTGAGTTCTCCTTCACGTTCACCAGCCGTTTCTCCTTCGGCTCTCGCTCACCTGCGTCCACCCAAAGACCTCCTGCGTTCCCACAGCCCGTTTCCCTGTGCTACCATTCCCACGCTGCTGTGGGCGGAGTTTGTGAAAACGAGAAGTGTATGATGGGTGTGGCCAGTTGTGGGGAGTGGGTCTTTTCCAGCATCAAGGCGGGGGGGGGGGAGGCATGTAGATCTGGAGTGTGTGAGAGCCAGTTTGGTGTGATGGCCAGTTTGGCGTAGTGGTTAAGAGCGGCGGACTCTAATCTGGGAGAACCGGGTTTGAATCCCCACTCCTCCACATGCAGCTGCTGGCGTGACCTTGGGTCAGGCACAAGTTCTTTCGGAGCTGTTATCTCAAGGGCAGTTCTTTTGGAGCTCTCTCAGTCCCACCTACCTCACAGGGTGTCTGTTGTGGGGAGGGGAAGGGAAAGGAGATTGTAAGCCGCTCTGAGACTCCTTTGGGTAGTGAAGGGCAGGGTATAAATCCAATCTCCTCCTCCTCCTCCTCCTCTTCTCCTTCTCCCCCTCCCCTTCTCCTCCTCCTCCTCCTCTTCTCCTCCTCCTCCTCCTCCTCCTCCTCTCCTTTTCTTTCTCCT